AAAAAAAAAAAAAATTCGCTGCACCATTATATCCAAGTTTTCTCGCATTCCATTATGTCCTCGCGTTCCTCAGTTATTTTATGACTAAAACCGGATTTAGTAAATCCAACACGAAGGTGAATTTATTCCTCTGTTGCTTCCGAGTTCTTCCATGATAACGTGGGTTTGATAAATCCAAATTAATCCAAATTTATGTGAATTGATAAATCTAATTTATCGTAAAACTAAGTTTCATCCGAACACCTCCTTAGAGTTTATAAAAATTGTTGTTGATTTGTTGTTATTAGGACATAAATTTGCATTGTTTCCTTTACAAAAAACGCGCATGGTGTTGAATTTTGATTGGACCAGAGGCCAAATCTTATAATCTAATATATTTTTGATAGACTTCATAATAAATTTTGGCTCGTGACTAGAAGTAGTTGCGAGACTGCAGGGTATATCAGCACCGTTAAAACTGCTGTCATTCAATCTGACTTCTTTTCACTTCCCTGCTGCTAACCTTTAGCATATTGTAGCAACTGGGTGATTTTTAACGGTGCTTAAAAATAGTTATCCTGAATACTTTTTAACTTTTAAAAACCTCAGCATAGTTTCTAAAAGAGCTTTTAAGTTAATTCAACCCAATTAAGTTAAGAAATTGACTGAATTTTTCTTTTATTTTATCACAAAACAATGCAAGTAAAGTTCAATGCCATGATAAAACATTTGTCTCCTCGTCTGTTTGCTGTTGTTACGAGCTAATATATTTTAGTAGCATACAACCTATGCAAAATAGCTTTTTTTCCAAAAGTGAGCTGAGAAACATGAGGTCTCGATTGCTTACTATTGTTTTTGGAAAGCATGGAGATGAACTAATTTTATATCCAAATCTTCCAAAACTTTAGCTGAAACCCAACGAACAAAGTACGGAAATGAGCTGCTTGAATTATCTCTCCAAATTCCATTTTGTACCGTTAAAGGCTGTAATAATCTGGGCAGACATTTCATTTCAGATTTAGAGTCTTGGAATGTAGGACAAACTCTTACAAATAACTCGTGTCTTCTTTCATTTTGGGTCTCATAAAATGGAGTAATAATGCAAGGCTAAATTATATTTGAAACCTCGTTGCCCTGCTATTTGAGTAGTGGGATACTTAGTTATCCAAGAGAGATTTTTCGATCAAATGTTGATGACGTAATATTTAAAACTAGTTAACTTTTCCACAAAATTAGTTAACAACTTGACTTCGTCCTGTCATCGAATGTGCGGAGAGAAATAAAACTGTAAAGCACACTTTTCCACAAAACTAGTTAACAACTCGACTTCGTCCTGTCGGTACAGAGCACTGGCTGCAAGACCAAGTTGTGTTTAGTATGAAAGCCAAATCCAGGGAATAATTTCCTGTCAGGTCTCCGGACGTTATGCCGCCACGTGTGATACATTACGGAGGTTATTTCGGAGTTATTGAAGTGGAATCTTGGAGGTTATTTTGGTGTTATTGAATAACCCCGAAAATCA